ATTCTCGCCATCGAACCAAAGACGTGGTCACGTCTCTACGTCTCGTTTGCTTGCAACACTTCTTAGACTGAGTAACTGCTTCTAACGACCAACGTAGAACGACATTGAAAAGATCAGTAAAGATCATAACGCTATTACGTATAATATTATTTTTCGTTCAAGTCAAAAATCCATTGCTGTATTCTAATAAGTCGTACATCAACGTCAATGTATGCTAAAATCAGCAATAATATGACTTTAATGATATATTTTAGTTGTATTTATGTGGTATATTCTTTCGTATTAACCATGGCTGTTTGTCAATATCTAGAAACTTCATCACGCGTTTAGCTGTAGGATTAATTTAACGATGGCTGGCTGTCGATATCTAGAAACTCCACCACGCGTTTAGCTGTAGGATTCATTATAATGTTTTAAATGCTCTTCTGAAAGTAATTGCAAAGTTGGTGCTACGGTTTTCATAGATACTCGATCCACAACATCTCTGTTTGAGTAACATGTTTAATAAACAATTTCCGAATTGTTAAATTTTATAATATTTATTTAACGGATTCTTAATTTAAAGAGCCAAATAAAATTACACTATTTCAAAAAGCTTAATAAGCAGTCTTTTAAAATTTTGATACTAACTAAAATTTGACCCTATTACCATATAAGTAGAACTACTTCGCGGTAGAAATAGCTACATAATTTTGACAGTTGGAAAATGGTATAAACAATGCTCGATATGGAGGCGTTAATATTGTTACGCGCTGGGGTTATATACCGAAGTACAAATTAACACTGTATTAGCACTTAGAACACTCACTTTAGAATTCTTAATTCACTTCTTACGCTTCGCTTCAGGTGATCCATTCGCTGTATCGCTTCGAGTAGTTCCGATTACTAATTGACTCGTGCCATCTCTGTAACGCTTTTATAATCGATATGACATCCCTAGAATTGTCGAGAACATTCTTCACAAGTCGAGTATTTTCGATCTGTGTTTCCGCTATCTGACAATAGATGGCGTTGTACTTCTCGAGCGTTCTCCATGTCACTAGTTCCTTTAATATTCGTTTCAGCTATTCGGTGATAGATGGCTTTACTCTTACCGGCGTAAAAATATAATAACGTCATGACGTCGTCAAAAATAATGCAAATTATTTATGTTTTGTTTTAATTTTGATACTTTTTTCTGAATTCCTAGCTCTTCGAATTAATCTTTAATTGTATAATAGAGAAGCGCGCCAGAATCATTCAAGCTCTAAACTCAAATAATGCATTTTGTATCTTAGAAAAAATATCAGATTAGCAGTACTTTTATTTAAAAAATTACGTGCTTGATTAATAGTAGTTTCTTTCTACTCATGAAAGTGGTAACAGTATAAATATTCAGTAAAAATAACAGTATAAATAACTAGTCAGGTCATAAGTATTGTCACACAGTAAAAACTTATCTTTTAGAATGCTGGCCACAAAAAAGTTTATTGAATTCGAATTTTGAATTGTTCATGAAAATAAAAATGTATACTTTTAGAATTTTACTCATTTTTAAATATGGAGTGGACGCTTAAAGAAGACCGTGTTGCAATTATTGCGTTGCATCGTTGCGGTTACGCGCCAATTCAAATTTTTAACATACTGAAAAATTTGAATATAACCAAAAGATTCGTTTATCGTACCATCAAACGATACAATCAAGACTCTAGTGTAGATGACAGGTCAACAAGTGGTCGCCCTCGGTCTGTTAGGACTCCAGCAGTGATAAAAGCTGTGAAGGCGCGAATTCAAAGAAATCCCAAACGTAAGCAGAAACTGTTGGCCCTTCAGATGGGGTTAAGCAGAACCACGGTGAAAAGGGTGTTAAATGAAGACTTAGGGCTTCGGGCATATCGAAGAANCAATATTTTTAACACCAATCAACTGTAGATGACGCTATGGTTACTATATCAATTTTTGAGATGGTCACCAAATTGCCTCAGAAACGTTTGGAAAAGCATATCGCAGTGTCGAGCGGTGCCGCCAGAGGGTGTGTATACGTAGCGCTGTATATTGGCTTTTACCATACCGATGATTTGGCGTCGCCAGCCAGCTCGAAATTTCGCTTAACGTGACGTTGCCGACTATTCACTTCGGATTCAAATTTCAAAATATGTACCTATGGTAAGGTGCGTGTCGTGTAACCCACTTATTAATAGTAGTACTAGTAATTATTGCGGTATTGCGGCCAATACATTGACATTGATAAATTTTTAACTAAAAAAGATTTTGTTTGATGTATAAAACACGAACTAATTTCTCCCTTGAAGGTCACTCATTTTTCATAGTATCATACATATACAGAGCCCGTTACATTTCGTAACAAGCATGAACAAAAATTATATTAGAGCATTAGTAGATTAAAAATTTTTTTTGGTGCCAAGTTTGCAATTATACCATATAATATGATCATTATACACCTGATGAACGTGACTGTAATTATCAAGCTAGGTTCATCTAGGTTTACTTCTACATATTGATTAGTGGCCTTAATTCTCTTTTGTTTATAATCAAAACGGATAAAAACCAAACGAGAAACGAATAATATTATTTTTATTATTTTGCAAGATATCGCATAGTATTAGCCGACATTATAATATTCTTGTCGCTGTTTATGCGCTAAGATTTCTTGTGTAGAAGAAGCAAATTACCCTCAAATTCCTGACACTGAAACTTTGTAGATTACTAGGGTCACCGGTGACACCTTATTTCGGATTTTGATTCTTAAGATAACAAAAATCATATTTAAATAACTATAGCGAAAATCAAGAATCGGATATGTAGTCATAAAAAGTTTCTTTCGTTTTCTCATTAATGCTCGAAATGTTCGAATATCAGATTTTTCAACACTTCTGTACCAGGACTTGATGATTATACTAAATTATAATAAATAATTAATATATAATAAATAGTAATGTAATGAATAATAATAAATAATTATTTATAAGATTATTAATAATAACAGAGGTATTTGGATATGATTTTTTAACATGGCAGTGTGCTAGCTGCCTCCTGTCAGACTCTTAACGAAGAAATTATTTAAGCTCAAGGTCTTTAACATAACTAAATCTGCAGGTACAGGTGGCATCAGAAATCGCTGACGAAAATAATTTTGAAAACAGCGCGAATTTCACTTTGAATTCTGATATAAGTACATATTTCAGACATTCACAAATATTAAACACACTATTTAATTCAAAATGTGATACGCCTACGTCTACCCATGGGGATGAGTACCTACTGTTTGTTGCAATAAAAAAGTTCAGTTTTTTTACATCATTATAGTGCAGTCCATGAATACCATCTTAATGTAATGCAAAAATCTTAATGCAACTCCCGATTTAGCCAGTTTTAATAATAGTTCAGTTTTGTCAAAAGAAATAAGTAACATAGTACCAGCGCATGGTTCACTCACGGATATAACTAAGCACACACTAACACACAAAAAGAAAATAAAAAAGGTTACGTCTTGCTGCTTGAGCAGTACGTGGTCTTTGGTGACTTTAACGCTCATCATCAAGGGTGGTTGAGGTCCAGAACCACTGACCTCCCGGGTCGGGCTGCCTACGATTTCGCCTTGCCCTACGGCCTCACTCAGCTGGTGACAGATTCCACCCGTGTCCCAGACATTAAGGGACACGAGCCTTCTTTGTTGGACCTTCTGCTGACATCTCACCCAGCTGGATACAGTGGTCGACGCTCCCCTTGGATCGTCTGATTACTGCTATATCCGTGCTGCGATACCACTCTCTCGCCCTAGTCGTCGAATGATGACCGAGTTTCTAAGAGTTTGGCGGTACAGGTCAGCAGATTGGGACGGATGCGTGAATTTTACGCATCCTACCCACAGGGCGACTCTGCTTTTCCTCCGATAATCCTGACATCTGTGCGGACCGGCTTAAAGACGTGGTGCTTCAGGGGACGGAATTATTCATTCCTTCTTCCGAGTTGCCCGTTGGGGGTCGCAGCAAACCCTAGTATAACAAAGCCAATAGAGAAGCTGCACACCTCAAGTGGTCCGCATACGCGGCATGGAATAATGCAAGGAGACGCCAGGACTCCGACATTTCGGAGGAAAGGCGGAAATTTAACGCCGCCTCTAGGTCCTATAAGAGGACTATTGCCAAGGCGAAGTCGGAGCACGTTGCCAGAATTGGTAAGTGACTGAAAGGCTATCCCTCTGGGAGCCGTGCTTTATGATCGCTGGCTAAAGCTGCAGAAGGCGACTTCTGCAGGTCTTGTCTCCCACTACTACGTAAGTCCGATGACAGTCTAGCCCATAGTGCGAAAGAGAAGGCTGACCTTCTGGTCAAACTCTTTGTCTCGAGCTCCACTATGGATGACGGGGGTGCCACACCACCCAACATCCCCTGATGTGATAGCTCTTTGCCTGAGATCTGCTTTACACAGTGTGCAGTCAGGCGGTAGCTCCGGGCCCTGGACGTCCACAAGTCGAGTGGGCCAGACTGCATCCCTGCAGTGGTTTTAAAACGTGCGCCCCTGAGTTGATACCTGCGCTAACGCGTTCATATTGCCTCTCGTATAGTACTAACAGGGTTCAGTCTTCATGGAAGACCACCCACGTCCACCCTATCCCCAAGAAGGGTGACCAGTCGGACCCATCGAGCGATAGGCCTATCGCGATAACTTCCTTGCTTTCCAAGGTCATGGGGCCAATAATGAATTCGCAACTCCTGCTGGCGATCCTCAAGATACCTATCTTGAGGATCGCCAGCCGATCAGTGACTGACAATACGGCTTCCGTCGCGGTCGCTCAACCGGTGATCTTCTTGTATACTTTACTCACAGGTGGGCTGAAACCTTGGAGAGCAAGGGCGAGGCTCTTTCTGTGAGCCTTGATATCGCGAAGGCCTTTGACAGGGTCTAGCATAGGGCACTTCTATCGAAGCTACCATCTTACGGAATCCCCGAGGATCTCTGCAAGTGGATCGCTAGCTTTTTGGATGGGTGGGTATCACGGTCGTTCGGTGGCTGCTCTGATACGATAACCATTAACGTTGGCGTTCCACAAGCTTCGGTGCCCTCCCCCACGCTTTTCATCCTGTATATCAATGACATGCTATCTATTGATGGCATTCATTGCCATGCAGATGACGACACGGGGGATGCGCGATATATCGGCCATCGGAGTTTTTCTCGGAGCGTGGTGGAAGAGAGACGCTCCTAACCTTGTGTCTGAAGTGGAGGACCCTCTGGGACGAATCTCCGAGTGGAGTGAATCGAACTTAGTTCAATTCACTCCGTTGAAGACACATGTTTGCGCGTTCACTGCGAAGAAGGACCCCTTTGTCGTGGTGCCACAATTCCAAGTAGTATCCCTGAAACCTTCCACGAGTAGTCCTTTAACGAATACTTGGAGACGATATTTCGAGCGATGTCTAGTTTCAGAATCATTTGGAGGGCAAAGCTAAGTTGGCGTCCAAAATGCTGGGAGTCCTCAACAGAGCGAAGTGTTACTTCACTCCTGGACAAAGACTTTTGCTTTATAAAGCACAAGCCCAGCCTCGCGTGCAGTACTGTTCCCACCTCTGGGCTGGCGCTCCCAAATACCAGCTACTTCCATTTGACTCCATGCAGAAGAGGGCCGTTCGGATTGTCGATAATCTTGTTCTCACGGATCGTTTGGAACCTCTGGGTCTGCGAAGGGACTTCGCTTCTCTCTGCATTTTGTACCATATGTTCCATGGGGAGTGCTCTATGACATGTCCTTCTTCAAACGGGCCTTATGGAGAGTACTCAACGGTAAGCAGCGGCTTGGCTCTGCCCCTGGGATTGCTGAAGTCCATGGGCGACGGTGACCATTCACCATCAGGTGAGCCGTATGCTCGTCTGCCTACAAGTTAGAACACATTTATTGTGTCTGCAAAGTTACCACTTATAATATTTTTAGGCTAAACCTTAATGTAGATTTTTTCAAAGTAATTTACTTGTTTCTCCTACTGAACAATTATGGCATTAAGTATATTATTTTAATAATTTTGATAATTGACTGCACATGGCTTCCACAATTATAAGACCTGTGAATGGTAGTATATTTTGTCAGTAAGTGAACATGTCAGAAGTACACGCTAATGGGAGGAAGTCCGACGTTTATAGGAATGAATTAGGTATACGGAACAATATACAGAGTTCCAATTTATTTCCAAAAAAACGGTAGACTTATCTGTAGTGAATTGATTCGTAATATATTTAAATATACGCGGATGGGGTAAGTACACTAATGTGGTTTGGTGGTCAAAAGTACTGCGAACAATATTGATATTAGTATATTAGTATTTTCTAGGATATTGCGACAAGGTGAATTTCGAGTTACATAGTCAGTTTCATATTTGTTAATACGTTAATATACTTGTTTAATTTTGCTCTAAGTCTATTAGAAGTGGTGGTTGTCAGAAGGTTGGAAACTGAAAGGTTGCCAAATGAGTTACGGGATTTATATATATATATATATATATATATATATATATATATATATATTTTAAATATTCGATTTATTTGCATAAGTTCGATGAATAAGTGTTCCGGAAAACCGACATAGGTTATACTGACTTCAATCCTAAATTGATTGTTTGGTCTGCAAAATGTTTTAGCTTGTTTAATGCTGATTAAAGAATACAAAATATGATTATATTATTATACGTATTTGATTTATCGTTTTTATAATTGTAAATTTAGATAACTGAAATTTAGATAACACTTAGAAACATAAAAAGGAAAATGTGCATAATATTTTCGCAGTTTTCCATTTTAGAAAAATGCTAAAGTATTCCATGTATGACGATATTTTAGATCGTTATTGCAAATCCCGGATTTTTTATACTCTGAATAGAAAACGTAAAACACATCTGCATTGTAATGTTTTGAAGGAAAAAAGTGCTGATCCGTAAGAGTTACGGACACCTTAAGTATAACATAGTCCCTAGCGTTTTTTTTTATTACTTACATGGGTGGACGAGCTCACATCGCGCCTAGAGTTAGTGGTTACTGGAGCCCATGGACATCTGCAACGTAAATGCACCACCCATCTCGAGATATACGTTCTAAAGTCTCAGTATAGTTACAACGGCTGCTGGTTAACGTGTATGCCTCTTTTACTAGCAAACAAGTGGTTCACCCAAATGCTATTACATATTTCCCGTTTTGGCCAGGACGGACCAAGCGATTGTTGCATCGCATGGGCATTATTACAATGGACAGAGGGAATGGAAGTTCTACTTGTCAATGGGGAACAAAGATATTGTATAAAGGCTTCATATAGGAACCCATTGTTGCTTTGCGGCCGAAATATGGAGATAATATATGTAATAATAACGATATGAGTCTGAAGGATCTCCACCGCCAATTAGAATAAGGATATTAGTTCTTAAAAGAAAAATGCTACAATCTAAATGACGGTAGTATCTAATAAGCTGTACTGGTGATAGGACCTCTTGTGAGTCCGCACGGGTAGGTACCACCGCCCCGCCTATTTCTGCCGTGAAGCAGTAATTCGTTTCGGTTTGAAAGGTGGGGCAGCCGTTGTAACCATACTGAGACCTTAGAACTTATATCTCAAGGTGTGTGGCGCATTTACGTTGTAGATATCTATGGGTTCCAGTAACCACTTAACACCAGGTGGGCTGTGAGCTCGTCCACACATCTAGGTAATAAAAAAAAACTTATATTCTGATTTGCTCTAATAAGCTAATTATCTAATAAGCTGTACTTATAATATATTCTGATCCATATATTCTGATTGATAGTTAAACTAAAATCGTGGGGCCTTGTGGTCTAAGAAAATTTACATTCGAGGACCTTGTTCTTTCAAACGAAACCTTCTTTTCGAATTAAACATCTGTTCATTTTCGTACATGCTATAACCCTCAGACCCAGCCTACTGAGTTTCTCGCCGGATCTTCTCAGTGGGTCGCGTTTCCGATCCGGTAGTGGATTCTGCGAAGCACGGATCTTGCTAGGGTTCGTGTTAGCAACGTCATCAGGTTTGAGCCCCGTGAGCTCACCTACTAGTTAAGGCTACACTGATATAGCCTCTCAAGGCTCTCAGCTTAGATAGGAAAAAAAAAGCACATGCTAATTGCAAATGGTCAGTCCAGATAAATATCGATTATAATTAACTCAATACTTGAAATGGCTTTACGTGAGTAACACAAAAGTTACGATCAATAAATACTAAACGCTAAGTAGGATTCTTGAACAGTTTTTCAAATATCTCCGAAATGTTAAAAATTCTCGCCATCGAACCAAAGACGTGGTCACGTCTCTACGTCTCGTTTGCTTGCAACACTTCTTAGACTGAGTCTAACTGCTTCTAACGACCAACGTAGAACGACATTGAAAAGATCAGTAAAGATTATAACGCTATTACGTATATAATATTTTTCCTTCTAGTCAAAAATCCATTGCTGTATTCTAATAAGTCGTACATCAACGTCAATGTATGCTAAAGTCAGCAATAATATGACTTTAATAATATATTTTAGTTGTATTTATGTGGTATATTCTTTCATATTAACCATGGTTGTTTGTCGATATCTAGAAACTCCAGATTCATTGTAATGTTTTAAATACTCTTCTGAAAGTAATTGCAAAGTTGGTGCTACGGTTTTCATAGATACTCGATCCACAACATCTCTGTTTGAGTAACATGTTTAATAAACAATTTCCGAATTGTTAAATTTTATAATATTTATTTAACGGATTCTTAATTTGAAGAGCCAAATAAAATTACACTGTCTCAAAAAGCTTAATAAGCAGTCTTTTAAAATTTTGATACTAACTAAAATTTGACCTTATTACCATATAAGTAGAACCACTTCGCGGTAGAAATAGCTACATAATTTTGACAGTTGGAAAATGGTATAAACAATGCTCGATATGGAGGCGTTAATATTTTACGCGCTGGGGTTATATACCGAAGTACAAATTAACACTGTATTAGCACTTAGAACACTCACTTTAGAATTCTTAATTCACTTCTTACGCTTCGCTTCAGGTGATCCATTCGCTGTATCGCTTCGAGTAGTTCCGATTACTAATTGACTCGTGCCATCTCTGTAACGCTCTTATAATCGATATGACATCCCTAGAATTGTCAAGAACATTCTTCACAAGTCGAGTATTTTCGATCTGTGTTTCCGCTATCTGACAATAGATGGCGTTGTACTTCTCGAGCGTTCTCTGTGTCACTAGTTCCTTTAATATTCGTTTCAGCTATTCGGTGATAGATGGCGTTACTCTTACCGGCATAAAAATATAATAGCCTCATGACGTCGTCAAAAATAATGCAAATTATTTATGTTTTGTTTTAATTTTGATACTTTTTTCTGAATTCCTAGCTCTTCGAATTAATCTTTAATTGTATAATAAAGAAGCGCGGCAGAATCATTCAAGCTCTAAACTCAAATAATGCATTTTGTATCTTAGAAAAAATATCAGATTAACAGTACTTTTATTAAAAAAATAACGTGCTTGATTAATAGTAGTTTCTTTCTACTCATTAAAGTGGTAACAGTATAAATATTCAGTAAAAATAACAGTATAAATATTTTCAAAATATTAAAATAATGTTAGCATACTGATCTTTAGTATATGTTGTTCTACTCAGCACGTTGGACCCGACCCAGGCAGCTCGCATATCCACTGAGATTACATCCAAATTCTCATATTTCAAATCCGCTATCGAAAACTGGGGCTTTGACTGCCGACCTTAGGATTTCGCTCGCGTTTTTAATGTAAGATGCAATTTCCTTTCGATAAAAAGATATTACATGATTCTGTAAGTATGGTTATTTGCATGAATCACCCGGTGTATTCAGAAATACGGGATTAGATACGAGATTAAAATGTATCGGTGAACGACGTTTGGAAATGAAGATATTTTTTTTTAAATCGAAATACGTATGTCTGGATCTTTGCCATCTTGTTTTCTTCGGTTTTCGAGGTGAAATGGATACAAATAAAAGATTGAATCCGCGTTTATTATTTTACAATATTTTTTCCGACTTTTTTAATTATTACAGTATTAATAAATATTACAGTATGCGTCGACGAGAAGGTCAGACGGTCGCTGTATAACTAGTATAGTAAATAGGCTGCAATCATTTTGTTTCCTTATATAATAATAGCAACCTATTCTGACTGTGATTTGCAAACTATACAATATCCCGATTAATAAATGTGTCACTGATATCTTAATCAAGAAAGCTACCGAGATAGCCGGAGAAAATACTGGTGGTTGGACGTCTTGTGGGCTCGGCGAGTAAATAAACCCATAGACACAGGCAACTGAGTTCACGGGGCTTAAGCCGGAGTGCTGCTAACACTAAGCAAGGGCCTAGCAAGGGCAGTGCTTCGCAGAATCTACCATGGATCGGAATCGCGACTCGCTGAGAAGATCCGCCGAGAAACTCAG